ACTAGAACAACTGAGAAATATCCCTTTGAATGCTTTGAGTTGACTTTTCACAGCTTCCGAAAATGTTTAAGTCTCAATAGGTTGAAGTGAATATATATATTTACTTTCTTTATACCAAGCTAGGCTAAACATGTCCTGATTCATTTGGTCTGTAGTTAAAGCACATCCAGAATAGACACCCAGAAAGCAAATAACCTTGTTTGCCAAAATGTTGAACAATTCTTTAAAAAAGTGTTTTTTTTCTGTTTTATGTTCACTCCTCTCCTCTTTATCCAATGTTTTATATGCACTCTTCTTACTCAGTGGCACTGTGAGCACACAGTTGACCCATACACCATTCAAATACAGACTGAGGTTCTTCAAAATAAAGTTATATATATGTGTGTGTCAGATGAAGTCTCATACAATTAATTGACTTAACACAATAAATAAGCTGTAGTCTTTTGAATGGAGTATACAGAGATGGCGAGAACAAAGAAGGGCATTGAGAGTAAAGGATAGTAAGGGATGGCAGCAGAGAAAAAAAAACAGCAATACATGTGAGAGGGGAAAAGTTCCAGAAGCAAAGGCAGGGGTGGAGAAATACCAATCTACAGAAATACCACTCTGCCTCAGAGATGGGGGTATAAGAGGGAGATGACAGGGGCTGATGAGAAGAAATGGTAGAGAGAGAAAAAAGGCAGTGAGAGAGACAAAGACAGTGAAAGAAGAGATGGGAGGGCTGAAGTGAGGACAGATGGGAAAGACATTCACTTCAGATGAAACATCTAACAACAAAGGAAAGCAGTAATAAATATTAAAATCACCTTGAAAACTTCAACTCCACCCACATCCACATACCGACACACACAAACACCCTCACACGCACAAAATATACCATCAATCTGCAGTACCAGCCCACCGCACTGGCACAATTGACATTAGCGGTGTGGCATATTTGTCATAAGCACGTAAACTATCCTTCTCCATCACACAGGCGTCATCTAATAGAGTCTAATACGAGAATTAAATGAATACACCCCTGGCATAATCATCAAGGTGTTGAACTTTACAAAGGTATTATGCCATGCATGTTACCATGTGGGACTGCATTCAATTGGTCATGTAGTATTCTGTTATACTGAAAATAATGGAAGTTGAAAAGGTAGTTGCTCTGGCTGTAAAACCACTGAGACCAACCCTAAACCCCATGAAAACCCTATGAAATAACTTCAAAGTACAGTTAATTGCTTAGATATTTGCAAGCTGTATATAAAACTATAACTACATGCTGGGTTTTGGTTTTTCACTCTCTAAAAAAGATGTGGGCAGTGATTCTGGGGTTCTGTAACCATGTAGGCGAGGGTTTTTGAAGGGAAATATAATTTGGTTTAGCGCTATGTGGCAGTTTATGGATAATCAATGTATAGGCTCAATGCCAATGTACCCCCATAGCCCCAAATGCTGGATAATGGGGGAAACATCAGATACCGGCACATTTCTACATAAACAATACTTATGCACATAAACCTTTCATACACTAAGAGTTAATGACACACACTGATGAACATTGGTCTAGTCCACAGATTGAGAGTTGGTGGCGGTAATCCGCCAAAGCAAAATAGCAACGTGCTAACAAAAGGCGGGTAAGGATAGCTAGTAAACACAGATATAAACAATGCAGGTTTTAAAATATTTCTTTAAAAATGGCTTGAATGGAAAAATGGATAGAACATGTGTTCTTTTGAGAAACAGAGTAACTTAATCATCCACTGATGCTTTCGGCCCACTAAAATATCAGCAGACAAAAGCATCCGATTTGTGTGGATCAGTGAGGAGGCTGTAACCTTAATACACGAAGCAAACACAAATGCCATATTTCCATCATGTTTTATAATTTTTTATCACCAGTTGAGGTTTGACTGGTATTCTTTTAATTATGCCATCTTGTTGCGCCCTCTTCTTCTGCAATGATCATTGGCACCCAGCTGAAGAATTAGCACCACCTATTGCTTATCTCGATGAACAAAGCAACGCATAACAGTAGTGGATGGAAACGCGCATAAATGTGAAATTTTACATTTGGATAGAAACATGGCTAGTATCTATAGTGAGTAGGTGTCGTGGATGTCCTGATGGTGGCGAATGTGACCCACAATTTACCTGTTTATTTATACCTTCCCTCAGAGTGCCCTACACAGCTGTGAGCGTGAGTTCATTCAGAGTGACACTCTGTAGTGAAGGGCCAGTGAGAAGGAATCGGTTTGGGAAAGGGTCACAGTCACGCTAGCAAATGACATTTACATAGTGTCAGACTCTTTTTGCATCTTGCCGAAAGCTGGCTGGCCAGAGAAAGTCACGGTGAGAGGAGTGACTAGAGAGGGCTATCTGGGAATATCTGGTTGATAGAGCATTGTACTCCTCTCTTTTTGGTAACCATGCTTTTCATTATTTTACACACTGCAGCTATGCCACATAATCACAGGCATGTTATCATAGACACACAAACCAGCACAGTTTCATTGTCATCCAGGAAATCTCATAGACAATCACACAGGTGCAAAGGAGTACATTCACAAGCATTTAGGCATTGAAAAGTAGCAACATGAACGCAGAGATACACAGACATCACACTCAATGTATGACAACTCGAGCATAACTCTTTTCATGCCTTCCGTTGTGTCTTGTTCATATTCACAGATAACACATTCAATTAAAACAACCAACGAAGCACCACCTACACACTACAGACTTCAACTGAATTCATAATCAGAGGCAAGTCAAGTACTGGAATTCATCAGAGCAGAGAGTTTGCATTTGAGTCTGCTATTTTCAGTGCTCGTAACATTAAGCAAGTTTAACAAAATTAGCTAGAGTAAGCTATATGATTTCAGAAATTAACACAGTTAACACTCAGTTAAAAGTTGTTTTTTTGGAAAGGAAAACACACTTTTAGCCTAAAAAGCCTGATTTGACACCTTGTGTGGACTCTCACCCTGGGACCGTGGCTCATTAAAAATATACTGGTACTCTTGTCACTCTGGAAACCAAAAGTGAGTAAATATAGCATCTTACCATGAAACCCAGGCTAATTAAAACATACTAGTACTCTTGTCATGTGGGGGTCCAAACAGCTAAAATCAACCATCATCCTGGGACTCGAGCTCATTAAAAACACACCAGCACTCATGTCATGAGGGGACCCAAACCGGGACACATATTGTATGTCAACCCAAAAATCCAGGCTCATTAAAACCTACTATTCTTGTTATGTGCAGATTCACCAGAATAACGCCTGCAATCCTGTTTTTGAGAACCTGCCAACAGTTTAGGAAACACAGTTTTACAGATGTAATTAAATGCAGGTGGACATGTGCAATGAGGAGAAAAGAGGAGATGCAGGTGGGTCCAGGGAGAGCTGAATTGAAGAGACGTTTGGAATTATATACCTCACTAAATTCACTAAAAACCTACATGTACACACTTGATGCTTACATATGCTCCTCGTCTACCTCTGCACAGAAGCATACACACTCACAGACATTCACCTCTGGCTACAGCCCCTGTCAGCTAAATGCCAACCAGATAAATTTCAAGGACTAAGAGTTAAATGGAATATTAATATTCTGACAAATCGAGCAGAAAGTCAAGAGAGTATTATGCTGAGCTTTCCCAACGGTGATGACTTCATTCCTGTCTTACCTTGCTTCAGTTTGCGCTCCGTTCAAGGAAATATGAATGTGAATATTTTTTAAACATTTAAACATCCGTGGCATATTTTTCCTATTAACTATTACTACTGAATTACAGATTCTTCTTAAATTGTGAAGTGAAAGAAGAAGCACACCAGGGCACATTCACTTTAACATTTACATTACACCCCATCCAAAGGCTTTGTGGTATGTAGGCTAACTAGCCAAAATTATTATTATTAAGTAATTTCCCCCTGGGATTATTAAAGTATTTCTGATTCTGATTACATTCAAAACATTATGTTATTTCATGTATAAATGTATAAAATGTATAATTTCTATGTATATATCATCTCACAAAATGTCCCCCATTCAATAGCCTAAATACACATTAAATACATACTGACTGAAACAGAGGGGGGTGACACAAAGAGGGATGATGGATACAAAGAGATACATGAGGTGTTTTATTCCATCAGCTTTTTAAACATTTTGTGATTTGGCCTGTTACGGGCTGTGGATGTGATACGCTGTCACCTGGTTTCTGGCTTCTTTTCTTTTTTGTCACTGTGACAATGAAAACTGACACTGTCATTAATCTGTGTACTTTGTTTGTGTATGTATGTACGATTGTATTGATTGCCCTTTTTATTCATTGTTGTATAATTTTGTATTTACTATTATTATTTGCTATCTGTAAATCAGATCACCCCCTGGGACATTAAAGCTTTATTCTACTTTTCTCTACTATATTCTACTGTGGCTAGCATGGTTGAAAACAGGTGAGCAGTGAGGGCTAGTTTTTATTACAATATTATTTTTTAATTACATGGTGCAGTGTGTGCAAATTGTCAGATTAAATAGAATCAATTATGTATTGTTAATATTTACAAGTGTTGCCCATGCAGAAAATATTAATGGTATATTAGTGGACAAAATAGAATAAGAACAGGAAAAGACTGTAGTAAATAATATAATAAGAGGAAAAACTGAATATACTACTTAACACCCTTTGACAAATTGTGTTGTGGCTGTCTAAACAGAGCACTATTAATCTTCAGTCATCAACGGATACATAAAAGAGGATCCATAATGGATCAGGAAAATCCTGTGACAGCTAACTGAGATGTGCTCACTACCGAAGATAAGTCAGAAAAGTTAGGTGCACAGTTCTGATATCAAATCCCTGCTGAGCAGACTAGATTCAACTCTGAATTATGGTTGGCATAACAGAGGAAAAAAATATGAAGAAACAGAGAAAACAAGTCAAAGAGAGAAAGAATGACTAAGAAAGATGGAGGAGGGGACACAACTAGAAACTTCCTTTACCTTCTGTGTCTTGGCCGAGGCAGGTTGATAGCAGCAGCAGATAAAGGACTCCTGTTCCCATTATGCTCGGCCATTTGACCTGGCCCCATGACAGTGGCCCCATTAAGTGTGTTCTAACCATCTTCACCACCATGCTTCACCAAGCATCCAGCTGCAGAGAGGAGGAGGAAACAGGAACACATAAACACAGGTCAGTCACAATCCCTCACCTCATTTTCAGCTGCACAGTATGCAACATTAAAAGCAGTCATTTTCCAGTACTTCCTTTTCAGGCTACGCCACCTGTGCTCTGGCTGTCAGTGACCAGCGATGTGGAAGCATACATTAACATACTCACAAGATGACATCTGCCACTGAAAAAAAATGCAGCAGTCATAACAGAGTCTGATGTAGCAGAACTGTATGCACTTTCCCGACCCATCCCTACACAAGTAAGTTTTGAATGAAAATATGCTTTCCATATTGACAGCGCACTCCATTACATCCCTAAAGTGAGATGTCCTCACAAAGCTCAGGTGGAATTTAATATTCATTTTGTGGCTGCACTTCACGGTTGAATGTCGCCAATCTAAAATCTTTGATCAATCATCTTTGTGTTTGTGCATCAAAGTAAATGTCTCACAGGGATTGCCACCACAATGGAAAATATAGAAACCTGTGGATGATGATAGAGAAGGAAATATTTTGTGCTATGTAAAAATTGCCAGCGGTGGCAACAACATCTCAGATCTTGCAGAGGAAAAATTTGACACAGCTGATAATACGTTTTCAAAGATGCTACACAGAGGAGAGAGTGAGAGAAATACATTAAGCTGATATTTGTGTATGTGTGCAGGTTGTGCATGTGTGTATCTCTTAGCTTGAGACTAATTACATTTTATAGGGAGAACATGTACAGCTGAAGGGAAAATACAAGGTTTCTTTGAAGTTCTCAGTCAAAGAGACATTTGGGTACTGTCTGAGTTTCTATGTGTACGTGTCTATAAATGGTTGTTTTGATTGCTTTGTGGTAATGCAGCTCAAACCCATTTAGCATCAATACTGCACACTTACTCTCTCACACCAACATTTCAATTGAGTTTAAATGTCCTACAAGAGAAAACATCTTTCAGCTCTTTAACACAGACTATTAAAAGATAGAGTTCGCTCAGGTGGGTGTTTATGTGGGTTGCAGGTTGCTGGGTTTTAAAATGATGTCTAATTGCAAATTTGCTTCTTTAAAAGGACCAGTGTGTAGGATTTAGTGGCATATAGGGTGTAGTTGCAGATCGCAACTCCCTCGCTTCACCCTCCTCTTCCAAGTGCGAAGGAGAAACTAGGATGGCCGTGAAAACGCAAACGACCCTCTGTAGAACTAGAACTTCAGGTGATTATACACTAATGAAAACATACCTATATTATATTCCATTTCGGCCAATAGATCCTCCTAAATGTTACAAACTGGACCTTTAAGCTCAAGTTTACTAGAGGTTAAAAGTACTGATCAATCAGCATTATTACGAGCAATTGATCAATCGCTAAACAGCAGTGGTCCAATCATAGTTTAGAAATTGTAACTAATCTTCACTAATTTATAAGATGAATACTAAGTAGAGTTTGTATGGACTGGTGGTGTCTTTTATATTAGACTTTACGAAACCAAAAACACAGAAACAAAGCAGGTTTATTTGCTCTAAGCTTCAAATCTTAGCATGCCTAGCTAACTAGCATACAACCTACAGTAGTAGCTATGGATGCATAACTACGACAGGAGAAACAGAAATTTAAAAACGTAATGTTTTATAATCATAAGCGCTGTCTTATGTTACACTGTCTTTCTTAGCTAAGAACACAGGGTGATACTTCATCTCTTCGCTTCTGCTGTCGAAATGCTAAACGGCTAGTTCCCAAGAGGTGTGAAACGCTATCTTTGAGTTCTCAGCAGACGAAGGCTGAGAAGGAAAGTTTCTAAGGAGGGATAAAACCAGTTTACAAAAAACAAACTAAACCAAATGACAGTGTTTAAGTGTTAGAATTAGCTTATACTAGCAATCAACAGCTGATAAAATCCACTAGGAAATTGTTTCAGCAATAGAGGTCAATCCGTCAACAAGAAATGAGTAACATGTTTTTGGTTACTTCTGTGTGAAGTGGAAGATCCAGGCTTGCTGCTAATTATGTGCGGTAAAACCGCTATCATTATGAACTGCATGTGTGCTGTGTAAAAAGCTTGACAGGTGTAGCAACAGCAATTACTGTAAGGGAGACATGGATCAGTAAAATGAAAAGCATCCAAACTGGAATATATTATTATATATATTAAATATTTTATATTTTAACGTTAATTTGCTGTTCAAAATAACACAGATAAGTTATTCTCCCATTCATTGTATGATTCATTTGATATACCTAGTCAACATCCAGCGCTACGGTATGTAATCACCTTAAATTCTTTGTTCCATTTTCAATGGTAAAACTGAGAATATTCTTTATTCTACAGAAGGAAATGAACCCGGACCTTAACCGAGACGAAAATCAGCTGCTCTTTTTCAGTAAGACAACATTAACTGCTTCCGTCACGCAAAATCTGCCGCCAGTTTAATTAGAACTGATTTATGAAGTTCCCATGGCAGAGATTACTGTGACAGAGTCAGATTACTATTGCCCTACCCCCTGAATGGAGATGGAGTTGGCTGACAACGGAAATGTAATTGTGATATTCTGCCAAACCCCAGAGGTGAAATCCAACAGTCACAGGGGCTGGGTGTAGCTTCATTCGAGAGACACACTTTAGACTCACAATGCCACGGTGCTGCTCTTAACTGCCCTTAATTGAGTTTAACATATTAAACTCTGGTGCTTTAATCTGCTCATAATTGTGTGCAGGTGTGGTGGGCTGTGATCAAGATGTAACGGAGTGTCAGAGAAAGCCCTGCAGAGGAGACTGATAACACCTCTGACATTGTGGAGAGGGAAAGAAACAGATGGTATTTTTTTCCGTGGCACTGGTTTTTATGAATTGCCAGGGAAACTTTGTGTTTATGAATTCAAAACTTCTGAGTCCGTAACGTCATGCTAGCCCTGTTGATGAGTTTTGTAAATAATTCCAGTAGTTTTTTTTAATAAGGTTGAGTCTCCAGGCGACGCGACCCCTGGTACTGTAATATTGGTGAGAGACTGATGGACACGACGCTGGGCTTGCATCATAAGCATTTGTGCTGGCTTGATTTAAAATTACATTACAGCACAAAAACAGAATTACATTCTGGCAAACTTTATGCAAGTATTTGAAGTGAGTAACAATGTTGCAACACCAGGATTTTCATTTGTCAAAATGATGGATAACTTTTGATATCATCACTTTAATCAACACATTTTTCATTGAATGCAACACCAGATGATATCATCACTCATGTATGACAAAATGTCAGCCATATAGTTACAAAGGTACTGCATACCATCAAGGAATCATCTCAAACACAACAACTGCGGTTGTGATCAAAGTGATGCATACAAGCCCACTGGATAGAAACATGAAAGTAAGTTGTCAAGATTATGTTTGCTCACATTAAATTATTTATATCTTCTCAAACATCACTTGGTACCTTTTCTAAATTCCAGCATGTTAGTTAAATAAAGACGATCTCATTTGAGTGGTAATTCCAACCACCTCCCTCAATGTTTGGATAGAATAGTATAATGAAAACCTTGTTTAGTGTAGAACTCTGCTACCGGGTTAATAACCCTCTGTTAAGTATGTGCTCACTTGGTGGAATAATGCTTTTAATTGCTTCACAGACAATACATCATTATACCTTTCTTTGACACCCAGTGAACCAAACTGTGAAACACTCTCATAAGGTGACCTTTTCTTTTTTATAACCTGAACTTGAGAAAACAATGAGAGCAAATCCAAAATAAACTTCTTTGATGCAATAACCTATTCTAAAAGGAACCCAATAGCCCATTCTCATAAGCCAACACAAAACCAGACTGATTTTTCACAGTGTTGAATGGAAAAAAGATTTCATGCATTTCTGCTTACTAAAAGTAACATTTTCTTTTTTCACTTTTATTCAGAAGGTCATTTTATTATCAAATAACGCCAGCTTATTGTCAGTGGGTGAACAAAGAGACGTTTGTCCACAGATTGTAGCATTTCTAAACTATCGCTAGGTCTGGTTAAAAGATATACTGACACAGTAGTTCCCTCTAAAGTAGACCTGTTGACTCTCTCAGTCAGGACAAACACGAGAGGATGTGCGACGAAGGTCCTTGACCGGAAACAGCAGAGAATACTTCTGGCTGCAGCTAAAGAAGTTCAACCTAACGAAGTGAATGATGGTGAACTTCTACACCGCCATCACTGAGTCCCTCCTCAACTCCTCCATCACCATCTGGTACGCAGCTGCCCAGGACAAGGACAGACTGCAGTGAATCATTGA